GCCACAGAAAACGAAGGTACCGAAAACCGAAGAGGATACAAGAGAAGAGGCGATTAGGCATTAGAGAGACTTGAGAACAAGCTGAGGCTGTTCCTTTTTCCTTTAGACGCGTGTCTGTAAATATTCATTATTCAATTTTCATTTCTATTTTGCATTAAAATTGATTGTTCAATCCAATTTGTTATTAGTGTGTGTGTAAAGAGCGTTCACAGGTTAGTGGATTAAATGTTATTTTGTTTTTGAGAGTTCAATTTATGCAAGTTCCTATTATTTTGTTCATTTTTATGTGTTTTTTGTTTGTTTATAACATTTTTTATAACATGTGCATTGTTCATGTATTTAACAAAAATCGTTTCATACTGTAAACAACCCCGATAAAGAAGTAAATTATGTGCTGTCTTTTTGTGCTGAGATTTTGATTTTGTGGATTTAGAGCGTGTATTAGGGCCTTGTTGAATTTACTAACATTTTCCTACCTGAGAGAATATCCTAACAAATTGAAATAATCAATCCAGAGATATTGGCTCAAATACAACTATAGCTGAGTAGCTTCCCGTATGGGGCCTCAGTATCCGCTGGGAAACTGGCTAACTAACAAAAAAACTCTTCAGTATTGAATATAGGTAGTGTTGATTGAATGTTGAGTGTGTAATTGAAATTTAAGCACAAAGACTAGAGACGGTACCTAATTTAAATTTTCATTTACTTAAATTATTGAATTAATGACTCACAATTATTATTAAATTGACACAGTATGTTTCGATTTTTAAGGAATGTTAGACCGAGGGTTTCTCTGCCGTTCTCTTTTCCCTCGTTAGTTCCAGGATGAGATCGGTACCATTTACTTTAATAATAAAGTGGACGTTTCAAAAAAAAAATCGTTTCTCTTACATATCACAACTTCCCTTAAATTTCCCTAATATTTGCTATGTCGGGCGCATGTCCAGTTAGTAAAATTGAGTAAGTTTCCACAACGTAGGTCCTATTTGTTTTTCATTTCATTTTTCAGAAGATTTGTTGTTTAAAAGGTAGGTAATAAAAATTCACACCGTTCAATCTTACTGAACGAACCCGGGTATGTTATACTACAATATTGTATAATCAAAAAGGCGAAATCGATGATACATAGGATGAAACTACCTACTATTGTCTCCTAGATTAACTGCATATTTCGCCATCATCTGGAGAGACAAAGTCCCTAATCAAACCCAGCCAACCGGAACTAAAACTACTCACAAAATTTCCAACAGGTCAGTCTGCCCTCTTCGTTGCCACCTTGTAAAGGTGGAAAAGCCTGTCAGCAACTTGCAGTTTGAAGCTCGACCGTAGGAAGTACCTTCGTAGTCATTTTTCTGTGAAGAGACCAAAATGATAATATTGAAAGCCAAAAAAGCATGAAAGTCCTAGGGGTTTCACTATTAGCCAGGCGGTAATATGCTTGAAAACTTTAAAGCTGCGTATCGATTACCTGCGGCAAACTGTCGAACATTGGCTCGCCCGGCAGTCGCGCTCAATGGATACTACTTGCCGCGCGAGCCAACCCGTGCTCGAACACGCCGCGGTGCGAACCAATTTTTGTCGGTTTTTGGAGCGCGGCAAAGGAAATGCTCGCACTAAGTTGAGACGGTTGTGTCGTTATTCGAGTTGAATAGCGCGGCAAAATGTCCATGGTTGCTTCGCGAAAACTAAACAAACATCTGGATCGCATGCCGCGAGCGGCAGTCACGTTTTAACAAAGTTCGTGTCTCAAGTGGCTCGCGCGGCAAATGGAGGTTTTTTGCCGTGCGAGCCTGCCGCGCGCGGCTGCCTCGCGAGATCGATACGCGGCAAAAGTCTCTCTCACTTGAAGGTTTGTTCACAGCAAAACGTTGTAGTATAACATACCCGGGTTCTTTCGGTAAGATTGAACGATGAGAATTTTGATTACCTTTAAACAACAAATCTTCTGAAAAACGAAATGAAGAAAAAAATAGTATCTACGTTATGGAAACTTACTCAGTTTTACTTACTGGACATGCGCCCGACATAGCAAATATTTGGGAAAGGATAACGCACACTTAACATGGGATTTTTGGGCTCTGTGGATTTCGCCCATTTTTTGATATGTTGTAGGGAATTTAATTCTTAACAACCTTTAAATGGGACGAAATCTTGTAGGTATTATGGTCTTTGAGATATGAGCGTTGAAAGATGTACTTTTTTGAGACTTTTTGTGTGGAGAGTATACGAAATACTGATGTTTATCAGTCAAAATATTGACAAGTTCACATTTTTTATGTCACTAACGAATGTCAACATTGGCTAAGGCCGGGACCGCACTAGCGCTGACAGTGTGGTCTCAGCCTATGTTGACATTAATCTGAGGAAAAATATGTGAATCTGTCAATATTTTGACTTATAAACACCAGTATTTCGTATACTCTCCACACAAAAAGTCACATAAAGTTCATATTTCAACGCTCATATCTCAAAGACCGTAATACCTACAAGATTTCGTCCCATTTAAAGGTTTCTAAGAATTAAATCCTCTACAACATATCAGAAAATGGGCAAAATCCATAGAGCCCAAAAATCCCATATTAGGTGTGCGGTATCCTTTAAGGGTAGTTGTGATATATAAAAGAAACGAAAAATTTGTGAAACGTCTACTTTATTATTAAAGTAAATCGTACCGTTCTCATCCTAGAACTAACGAGGGGAAAGAGAACGGCAGAGAAACCTTCGATCTAACATTCCTTAAAAATCGAAACATACTGTGTCAATTTTAATAATAATTGTGAGTCATTAATTCAATAATTTAAGTCAATAAAAGTTTAAATTAGGTACCGTCTTTGGTCTTTGTGCTAAAATTTTAATTATACACACTACATTCAATCAACACTACCTGTATTTAATACTGAAGAGTTTTTGGTTAGTTAGCCCATCTGTGGCGGGTACTGAGGTCCCTGGTTACGGTAACTCACAGCTATAGTTGTTTTTGAGCCAATATCTCCAGATTGATTTTTCTCAATTTGCTAGGATATTCTCTCGTAAGGGTAGGAAAATGTAAGTAAATTCAACAAGGCCCTAATGCACGTTCTGAATCCACAAAATCAAAATCTCAGCACAAAAAGACAGCACATAATTTCTTAGGTTTCAATTTACTTCTTTATCGGTGTTGTTTACAGCATGAAACGATTTTTGTTAAATACATGAACAATGCACATGTTATAAAAAAATGTTATAGACAAACAAAAAAAAACATAAAAATGATGGAAAAAAATGATATTTGTATAAATTGAACTCTCACAAACAAAATAATAATTATTAATCAACCAGCTCGTTCTGTCTTCTAGTTGCGTATCCCTTGTATCCTCTTCGGTTTTGGTACCTTCGTTTTCTGTGGCGCGCCCCGTTCAAACCTAAATTTGATGGCGCAGACATGGTTGCAACATTTACTTTTATTCAGTAACCGATTTTTGAAAAGTTAAGATTTGATGAAACAACATTTTAAATAGGTGGTTTTCCTCAACGTCCATTGGAAGAAAGTTCACTCGACTCTCTCTCTTTTGTCAACTGTCATTAATGTCTCTTGTCTGCAAGCGTTGCTCGAATTAACAAAACGAAACTAACCCAAACTATAGAAGAGATATCCGTTCACTATTTTCGATTCTCAGGTCTTGGACTAGGAAACCTTATGGAAAGCCAACTCAAAAAGGGTGTCACGATTACCAAAGTATTTCGAACCTGAAAGTTCCTTTACATGAAAACGTCTAGGGAGCAGAAAGTTAGCTGATAAAGCTAGAACGTTAACATTTATATGTAGATAGCAATAAATCTTTTTTTATAAATTTTAATCTGAAATTAAAATCTCTTAGGGCGTAGATGGGATGCATCAAGCTCACTTAACATTCGATAGCCCGAAAGATTATAAATAATATTTTCTAAAATAGGACTCATTCTTATTACGAAAACGGTTGTTCGAAAATAATGATGTTGCTTCGGCTCTGGCGAGAGAAAATTGGATTCTGGAATGATTTATGTTTGGGTTAAGGCCAAGTTTTGTGTGTATCTCCAATCTAGTGAAAATTTTTAATTGAATAATCACAAAGAGTGTTTGATTATCTTCGATAAAAATGTTCACCTTTAATTTTTTTTTTTTTGATTGACTGCACGTCGGTGAAAGTACTGCCTTAGCACGGCGATTAGTCAAGACTTAATAAGTACTTGTTAAAACAAAAAAAAATAATCACCAGGTGTTCATTTTGTTTCGGCATAATATTTCTTTTTGGATAATTTGACCTTCGTACTTGAGTTATGACGTATAATTGGAGAGTTTCAATGGTTTATAGGGTTCAAAATTATAGTTCGCAAGATATTTTCTTTTCTGATTCTGGCTCCGTTTATAGGTACTCATAATTTACTTGAATGAGCTTTTTATTTTAATTTTGAGAGTCTTAATTTGGAAATCATAAATATCCTTTTGTGTTAATCATAATTTAACAATCAAAGTCGGAATTAAAAGGCCTCAAAGCTGGAAAGTTCAATTTTACGACTTTTACTAGAAGCATTTTAGCGTACTCACAAGGCAGTAAAACCAAGTACCGTAATTTATGCATTAATTTTTTTTACGAAATGAGGGGCCTGACATGTTATTTTCTCTGATATAAGCCAACGACCCAGCAAACTGTGTGTCGCGAATATATAAATAATAAGATTATTTATTGCGCAAAAATAAACGCTGGCCTCTGGCTTAGCGGTTATTTATTGAATTGCTGATTTTAAACGATTATTGATTTCTGTCTCATTTTTTTTCTATCGACTTTTTTAGGCTGACTATTGATTTATGGTATCTATAACTATTGTAGATTTATCGATTGATTGTTAGGTATTTAGGTTTGCATTTATGTTATTATGTTATTAATTACATCGATATTTTATTCTAAAGGCAACGACCTTCTTACAGTTCTTACTCCCTTTCCTTAACTTTTACGTTTATATAATTGAAATTTTTGTTGCAGAGATGGCAAAGAAGATGGTTCGTTTTGTACGACGATGGGGAACTGAACTACTCCGTCGACGAACACGTAAGTAGTCAATTGTGATTTTGGGGTGAAATTTGATACAGAACATCCTTATTAAATTTCGTCAAACTTCTCTTGTTGCACTTCAAAGGCTTTTCATTGGATAATTGAGAAGAGATTTTAGGCCATCAAAACCTTTTTTGCTTATCTTTAATAAACAATGAAGCAGTGAAAGGAAAGCTATTCAAAAACATTTATTTAATTCAAAACATGCTCTCGGACTAAAATTCTATTCTGTTGGCATTCATCCTAGTTTTTCAACGCTTTTTTTATGAACGAAAACATTATGGAAGTGCTGGAGACAATCCCTATGCCAGCGGAAATTATGACAAAGTAATTGATAGCTTTAAATCAGGATTTGAACATAATTTCAAGTGCTTGACAGAACGATGGTTTCGATGATGAAGAAGAGAAAACAGATCTGAACAGTATCGCAATACTTTTAAACTTAATTCCGACAGCTATAGGTTTGGTAAATTTGAATCTATCTATCTATCTATCTATCTATCTATTCAGCCTTCTTCAGTCCATCTTTGGACATAGCCCTCCCCCAGTCTTCTCCATTCTTCTCGTCTGTTGCCATGTTCATCCACTTGGTTCCAGGGTGCTTCTTCAGGTCATCAGCATACCTCATCTGGGGTCTTCCTCTACTTCTTTTATTCTCCCAAGGTCTCCAGCTTAAGATACATTTATTCTATCGGTCGTCTTTTTGTCTGATATTGTGACCTGCGAATTTCCATGTTAATTTTGCTACCTCCTTTCTAAACTCCTCTTACTCTCGTTTTATTTCTTATCCACTCGTTCCTCTTTTCATCTATCAGTTTCACATGTAACATTTGTCTTTACATTGATCTTTGTGCTTTTGTTATTTTATCCATGTTTGACTTTGTAAGTGTCCATGTTTGGGATCCATAGGTGAGAACAGGAAGTATACATTGATTATAAACTTTGGATTTGAGGTATTGTGGATATTTTCTATTTTTCAAGATGTAGCTTAATTAACCGAATGCTGCCCAAGCTAATCTAACTCGTCTCTTGATTTCTGCTGTTTGGTTTTCTTTGCTGAGTTTAATAATCTGTCCCAGATATATATATTCGTCGACTTGTTCTATTTTTTCCTGTCCTATTCTGATTATGATGTCATCGTCTGTGTTGGTTATTGTTTTAGTTTTAGCGTAGTTCATATTGAGACCTATGTTTTTAGCTGCTGTGTCAAGTTCTTCCAGCATTTCTGTCAGCTCTTCTTTTTTATCAGTTATAAGGGCGACATCATCCGCGTATCTCAAGTTGCTCAAGTGTTGTCCGCATATTTTTATACCTTTTTCCTCCCAGTCTAGTTTTTTAAAAACATCTTCCAGAGCCTGGTTGAAATGTTTGGGTGATATTGTGTCGCCCTGTCTGACACCTCTTCCTATGGGTATTGGTTTAGTTCCCTCATGGACTTTAATAGTTGTTGTTGCTTCGCTATATATGTTGGTTATTAGGTCTGTGTATCTGTAGTCTATTCTGCTATTAATTAATGAGCTCTTTACTGACCAATGTTCAACACTATCAACAGCCTTTTCGAAGTCGATAAATGCAATATATAGTGGGATGTGATATTCGTTGGCTCGTTCTATTAGGATTTTCTTGGTTAATAGGTGGTCACTTGTACTGAAACCCTTTCTGAAGCCGGCCTGTTCTTTCGATTGGTAACCATCGAATTTTATTGTTAGCCTGGTGCAGAGCTGGGCAGGGCTTGAGTGCTTTGTGCTTGCGAAAGTGCTTGAAGCACTTTGAGGGCTTGAAAGCCCTGTGCTTCAAGCCCTTTTATAGATTTGTAATTGGGGCTTGCAAAGTCAATTACTTTAGAAAAGTGCTTGGTAATTTGTAATTGAAAAAAGTAATTCAAGCCCTTTCAATGAGCTTCAATTACTTTTAGAGGGCTTGAAGCACTTTTGGGAGCTTGAAGCCCTTCGAAAGGGCTTGAAGCACTTTAAGAGGGCTTGAAGCACTTTTGGGAGCTTGAAGCACTTTGAAAGGGCTTGAAGCACTTTAAAAGGGCTTGAAGCACTTTGAAAGGAATTTGAATTGACCATCACTCAACCTATCCCCCACTTGAAAATTTTCGATCGTATTTTGTCCCTTTTTTTTTCTATTATTTGAACTTGAACCGTCTTATGTCTTTTCTCTTTAAACAATGGAGGTTTTGGGTTTGAGCTTAGAATGGAATTTAAAAAAAAAATAATGAACTTATTATTCAAATAAATAATTAATTTATATTGGTAACCTATTTAACTTTATCACTGGATTTTTTCCACTTTTCCCCATTGAACATTTTCAAAACCTTAAAATTGAATTACCATGTAGTACCCCAAGTACCCCAGAACAGAGCTGGGCAAAGCCCTCAGTAAAAGGGCTTGAAGCACTAAGCCCTAAGCCCTCTATCAAAGTGCTTCAATTTCAAGGACAAATTCCTTTTTATTTTCAAAAGTGCTTCACAAGCACAAAGCCCTCAAAGTGCTTTGGGCTTGACAAGCACAAAGCCCTCAAAGTGATTTGAAAAGTGCTTGAAGCACATCAAAAGAGCTTGGGGAGCCTTGAAAAGGGCTTCAAGCTCTTTAACTGTGCTTCAAGCTCTTTAAATGTGCTTCAAGCTCTTTAAATGTGCTTGAAGCTCTTTAAATGTGCCTAAAGCACTTTGAATTTGTAATAAAATTCTCAAAGTGGCATAAGTTACCGCGTACACTCATCACACAGAATTGGTATAGTAAAGACGAACTTCACATTCCACAACGTAGCAGTAGTATGTTTTTTTTTGAGATGTAGTTCTGGGGTACTTGGGGTAGTTGGGGTACTACATGGTAATTCAATTTTAAGGTTTTCAAAATGTTCAATGGGGAAAAGTGAAAAAAATCCAGTGATAAAGTTAAATAGGGTACTTACCTATAAATTATTTATTTATTTGAATAATAAGTTCATTCATTTTTTTTTTTAAATTCCATTCTAAGCTCAAAACCTTCATTGTTAAGAGAGAAAAGACATAAGACGGTTCAAGTTCAAATAATAGAAAAAAAAATTAAGGGACAAAACACGATCGAAAATGTTTAAGTGGGGGATAGGTTGAATGATGGTCAATTCAAATTCCTTTCAAAGTGCTTCAAGCCCTTTTAAAGTGCTTCAAGCCCTTTTAAAGTGCTTCAAGCCCTTTTAGAGTGCTTCAAGCCCTTTCAAAGTGCTTCAAGCTCCCAAAAGTGCTTCAAGCCCTCTTAAAGTGCTTCAAGCCCTTTCAAAGGGCTTCAAGCTCCCAAAAGTGCTTCAAGCCCTCTAAAAGTAATTGAAGCTCATTGAAAGGGCTTGAATTACTTTTTTAAATTACAAATTACCAAGCACTTTTCTAAAGTAATTGACTTTGCAAGCCCCAATTACAAATCTATAAAAGGGCTTGAAGCACAGGGCTGTCAAGTCCTCAAAGTGCTTCAAGCACTTTCGCAAGCACAAAGCACTCAAGCCCTGCCCAGCTCTGCCCCTGAACTACATCTCAAAAAAAAACATACTACTGCTACTCTGTGAAATGTAAAGTTCGTCTCTACTATACCAATTCTGTTTGATGAGTGTACGCGGTAGCTTATGCCACTTTGAGAATTTTATTACAAATTCAAAGTGATTTAGGCACATTTAAAGAGCTTCAAGCACATTTAAAGAGCTTGAAGCCCTTTTCAAGGCACCCCAAGCACTTTTGATGTGCTTCAAGCACTTTTCAAATCACTTTGAGGGCTTTGTGCTGGTCAAGCCCAAAGCACTTTGAGGGCTTTGTGCTTGTGAAGCACTTTTGAAAATAAAAAGGAATTTGTGCTTGAAATTGAAGCACTTTGATAGAGGGCTTAGGGCTTAGTGCTTCAAGCCCTTTTACTGAGGGCTTTGCCCAGCTCTGGCCTGGTGGTGAAAATTTTTGTGAAGAGCTTATAAATTACATTAAGGAGTGTTATAGGTCGATAGTTTTTCAAGTCTGTTCTATCACCTTTCTTATGAAGGATGATTGTAATGGATTCATTCCAGTTGTTCGGGATTTTCTTTTCTTTCAGTATTTTATTTGGGAGGATATGGAGAGTATTGATGACCGTTTTTCCACCGTATTTTAGCACTTCTGCCGTGACTCCGCCTTTTCCAGGTGCTTTGTTGTTTTTCATTTCTTTCAGAGCCCTCTTTATTTCCGATTTACTTATTTCGGGTTGTAGTTCTGAGTTTACATTCTTTATTTTAGTTTGCAGTTGTTTTACGGTTTCTTGCGGTGGTTCCCTTTTTGTTTGATATAGTTCTGTATAAAACAATTGTGTGATATTTATGATATCCTCCTTATTAGTTTCTACGCCGTTCTTGTCTTTTATTTTATTTATTTTGTATCTTCCTAGTGTTGGTCTTAGGCATTTCGTATTCCTGTTATTCTCTATGACTCTTTCTATTTCTATTTCGTGGTTCTTTCTTTTGTTTTCTTTTATCATTTTCCTGATGGTCTTATTGATTTCTGTGTATTCTATCGATTTCCTTTTCCCTTCTTCGTTCAGTTTCCGCCTTCTTTCCTTGAGTTTCTTTGTCTCTTCTGATATGCAATCTATTTTCTTTTTATCTTTTTGTGCGATTTCGTTTCCTACCCTAACCATGGTTTCCGCTAATGTATCGTATATTTTATCTATACTAGGTCACGAGCGCGCTTCGCGCTCTTTTTTTTTAAATCAAGTCCATCAAAATAATTATAAAATGGAAAATATTTATTAGGTGTTGTACAAAAAACAGCATAATTTGTGTTTTAAATGTACACTATACATTAAATGTACCAGTGAGATAAGTTGTATAGATGTTATTTTAGTGAAGAAATTTCAAATGCGATGGATGGAGTTGGTGACGAATTATTTTTGTATGGTATATCATAATGATTTTAAATCGATCACATTTCTTGAATGTACGGTGTGCGTATGTCTACTTATCTCATTCTGTTTTATGGAACTCGTAGGTATACATTTTTC